CAGTATAAAATCCTGGATGAAAGTTGCTATTTGTAGTAGTTATGACAGTATTAATCGCAATCACCAGATAAGGTAAGAATAAGATGTTGCATCCCATAATTATTTACAATTGCCATTGATTGCTTCCAGGGGTGGTGTGACTATTGCCTCTCACAGATGATTCTGAAGAGAGCTTGATGATGTGCAAAACCTATGATTTTATCTTCATGTTCCCCACCCCTGTGGAAAGTGCTATGTTATTACCCATGGTCATTTAATGATTCAATTTAACACTAAAGAAAAGCACTGAGAACTACTCACACCCTCCTACTAGGCTGGAGCAGCAATGATTAAAGTATGTTCCTTTTAATTAACGCTGGCTGAAAACTCCTCAGCAGTTTCATGGTTCCTGTGTAATTTGAAACAACTTGTTTCCAGGAGTGAATGTAATAACACATATCGCTTTGATTGACGGGTTTCCTGCTGGACTCAGGAAGTGGCTCAGTGTCAGATGACACAGACCATGTGGCCAGAGACCAAGAGATTTTTACTAGTAGCCTTGGTGTTGTGTAGCTCTCCAAGTCTCCTGCCCTCTCCGGAAATGTCAGGCAGGCTAAAACTCATGAGGGCCAAAAGCCAAAAGTATTTGGAAAGATGCAAAGACAGATGTTATGGCCAAACCCCCTTTGAGTTGTGACTACTTCATGAGACTTCAGCTCCACAATGAGCAGCAGAGGCATCAGCATTCGAATTAAGTAATGCCCCTGGTACTTCCCACCTCTGTGACCTTGGTCTAAGTACTTAACTGATCTCTGTCTGTTCACAATGATAATAAGTAGCTTCCCTCAGAAGATGAGCTAGAATTCACAAACAATAGTATGCAAAGCTTTTGAAAGGAGATGTTTTTGTGACATTTTGTTGGCAGGGATTTAGAAATCTTCTTTTAAAACAAACCTTTCTTCAAAGGATTAAATAAAAAAAGGATAGATTAGCAGGGGTGAGATGGGAATGAGCTCTGTCTTCCTTACAATAATGCTGTATGAAAATAAGACCTCAGGTAAGCTTGAAAATATGGTGCAGGAAATACAGCTTAACTGGACATACCTCCAGCTTTCCACTCTTCCTTGTCTGTCCACTTATGTGGTGCTTTTCCTTATTTCTATTGCTAAGGAGCAAACTGAAAGAAAACAAAGACCCTCCTATCTACCCTCCTGAGCTGTACTGTGACACACCGACAGCACACACTCTAGTACTCTAGTTCATGTGTAGCCCCTGGTGAGTCTCCCTTATACAGAGGTTGGTTCTTCATAGATATCCCACTGGCAAATATCACATCGTCTCTGTGATAAACTGGGAGGACTACATTTTTTATCAGTTATTTATCTGAGTCCTTTCTATATACATAAAGCACACACACCAGCAGCAGCAGCAGCAGCAGCAGCAGCAGCAACAACATAAACAGTACAGAAAGTAGTTGGATAGTTGGAGGGGGAGCATTGACTCTTCTTTTAAAAAATGGATGTTATTTTTTTTTTTGATAAAATACATAAAGATGACAGTGACTCATAAACACAGGACAAAATAAGTAGAACTACTGATAAAGGCCTAGAGAGATGACTCATTGGATAGAAGTTGCTCTCCCACAAGACACAGTTCGGTTCCCAGCACCCGCATGATGTCTAACAACCATTTGTAATTCCAGTTCCAGGGGTATCTGACGACCTCTCTGGCCTCTGGAAGCACTGCAGCCAAACAATACACACAAACAAATGCAGACAAAACACCTACACACATAAAGTAAAAATAAATAAAGCTTTAAACATGTTGGCCAGAGGGGAGACTGAGGAAGATACAGAGATGGACTCCCAGACCTGGGAGAGGTCAGCTTGGCTTGGTGTCTGAAAGAGCATCCCCAGCAAGGCCAGCAACAGAAGCGTGAACAAGCCTCAGTGCAGCAGATCAGTCAGAGGTGGCTTATGGTAGCAGAAGAAAGGTTGTTAACTGGGGCTGGATGTGTGTTCCAGGATGTAAGAGTGCTTGGCAGGCAAGCAGGAAGACCTGAATTCAAATACTCAGCACCCCTGTAAAAAGCCATGAATGTTTGCACTCTCAGCACTGTGTGTCTCAGGGCAGAGGGCAGAGACAGGTGGATTTCTGGGGGTTGCTGGCCACCAGCCTAGCTCCACGTTCAGTGAGAGATTTTCTCTTAAGAAAATAAAACAGAATGGTAGAACAGACACCCCACTTGATGTCATAGTGTACACTACACACACACACACACACACACACACACACATCCATAGGTACACATCACAGAAATACAAAGCAAAGGAAGGAAAGAAGGAAAGGAAGAAAAATAAGTGATCTCATTCTACATAGATATTTCTAGATCACAAGTCTGTAACTTCTTCAGGACCCTCCCTGCTCTCCCTCCTTCTCCTCGCACTCCTTCCCTCCTTTTGTCATCTTTCTTTTGAGGCACAGTCTTACTCTGTAGCTGCTCTAGCCTTAAACTTATACTGCTCATCTCCCTTAGTGTTGAAATTATAGACAAGGATCACCATACGCAGTTTATGTAGTACTGAGGATTGAACTCAGGGCCTTGTGCGTGCTAAGCAAGCACTCTGTGAACTGAACCAAATCACTAGAACCTATATATTAAAAACTTCTCTATGGCTGACCCTTGGTATTAGAGAGCAATTAGGGGGAAGAATCGCTATCCCTTGTTACAGAGTAACACAGCAGGTTGCAATTATATATTTACTTATATAATAACTAAGAAGTAATTATTAAAATAAAAGGCCATGAAGCCATGAATTTAAGGAAGAGTAGGAGATCATGGGAGGAGTTGGAGGAAGGAGGGGGCAGTGATGTAAAGACAGTATGCATACATATATGCAAATATACATATATGGATTTCTCTAACACAGGTCTCCTGTTTTCAAAAAGCACCAGGACATTAGGGAAGTATTTGGAAATGTGAAGTGCAAGAGCTGGATGTGATGGCCCACATATATAGTTTCAGTGCTTAGAAGGTAGAGGCAGGATGGTCATGAGTCAAGGCCAAACACAGCTATATAAAGAGTTTGAGACCATCCTGGCTCTCAGGGGACCGTATTTAACTAAAAAAAGGAAAGGAAAGAAAAGAAAAGAAAAAAGAAAAGAGAAGAGGAAAAGAAAGGAAAGGGAAGGGAAGGGGAGGAAAGGGAAGGGAAAAAAGGAAGGGAAAGGAAGGGAAAGGAAAAGGGAAAGGAAAAGGGAAAGGAAAGAAAAGAAAAGGAAAGGAAAGGAAAGGAAAGGAAAGGAAAGGAAAGGAAAGGAAAGGAAAGGAAAGGAAAGGAAAGAATAGAAAAGGAAAGGAAAGAAAAGGCAACAAAGGTAAATATGCTCCTTTGTGAAGTAAGTGCAGAAGTGAGGGAAACACAGAGGCAGTGGGCCGCTGGAAGGAACCAGCAGGTTGACCTTCCATCATGTAATTCCAACATGATTAGAGAAGTGCCTTCAAGAGATGCTTTTACAGCCCTCATTGCAGATGTCATTGGCCCCTGTCCTGATGATACTGGAATGCTTAAATATGGAATACATAGCCTCTCCTGTGAGCTAGTTCCTCTAGCTCTACTATGGAAAAGCCTGGAGACAGGCTGGCCATCTCTTCCCTGGGCAGCTCGGCATGAAGTAGGGTTTGCTCTTCTACCTCATGGCAGAGGTGAAGACACACATTTTAACACTAGCACTAAGTAAAATATCACATTTACACTAGAATGTTCTAAACCTGGCTCTTGCTTTTCTTGGATTTTGGATTGGGAACACAAAAGTGAAAATTAACTTTTGTCACTTGCTTGATTTTCAAACTGAGCTACCTATTGTCATGGGGAGGCTACCTATTACAGAATTAGGAGCATGGTTAAGATAACCCAGATTGTGATTTGCTTGGCTTCATTTTTGTTCTATATTTTTTCCCTCCTTCTCCTCCTTCTCTATTACTACTTTTTTATATGCATAATAGTTTATAACATGTAGTTTATTATTTATGTTCAATAGACATTATTATTTATCTCAACATGAATTCGTACAGTAAACTTATTTGCTATTATTTAAAATATGAGGGTATATGCATAATTTCCGCACACTATAAAAACAAGATATAGGACAGTGCATACAACCAACACTCATACAAATTCAAACTCATCAAATTCAAAAATATCATCTATATCTATACTTATAGATTACAGACTGGATGTCTATGCTTTTCCCAACATCAAAATTAAAGCCCTAGACTGAAGTGATAGCATTTGGATTTGTGACTTTGGAAGATAATAGTTTAGGTGAGGTCATGACGGTCAGGTGACCAAGGCTGAATTTATATTCCTGTGACAATTAGAGGAGAGACTAGGGCCCTTTTATTTTTCTGCTACATGAAAGCAAAGCTGTATCCAGGTCAGAAGAAGAACCCTCAGTGGGAAGTAAATCTGATGGCTCCTTCACCTTGATCTTCCCAGTCTTTAGAACCACAGATAGAAACACCAGCTGTTTATGCCACCAATCTACAACATTCTGTCACAGCAGCCTGAGCAGAGTATGGCCCTGGGCCTGTATGTGTTTGACAATTCACAGAACACAGCTGGAATGCTAAGTGACAGAACAGGGCTACTGGTTGTGTCAAATAAGATAAGAATGCCTAGAAGACCTGACTCAAGGAAGGGCTGCAAGGGCTGCTGTTACTCTAAAAAGATCTGCTTCTTTATACTGAAAACGTTTATTTGAATATGCATCATATATATATAAGATGCTTTAACCAACAAAAATTACAGTGTCTATGTCAAAGGTTCATCTAAACATACTAATGCAATACTTATAAAGACTCTGAAGCTCACTAATGCACCATTAGGAATTTATAAAGAAAAAAAAACTTGTAATGCAACATTTAAGAGTGTCTGAGGGTGTCTGGCATTACAGGGTCACAGCCTGTGCGAGGGGAGGTGATGATAACTTAAAAGGTCAGGAAACAGAATCAGACTTACCAGTAGAACCTATTTGGAACCACCGATTCCTGGATAAGCTGCCATCTTCTGCCAAACTCAGCAGAGCTGTATAACTGGAGGGAGAAAGAGGGAAAAGAGATCAACATCTTGGCCTTTGTACTTGTTTGTTTAATTCCTCAGTAGCAGCACCTGATATTTCCGACTTTCATGTCAATTCTGCAAGTCAGACATTAACATCTCCCTTTAAACTTAAAGGCATCAGGACTCGGGGATCATATGCTGTGCTGCAGCCACATGCTCAGTGATTAGTGAAGTGAACTGGGAGTCACAGACTGCTCTTGTGGTGGCAATGTTTTCTGTTCCTCTGGATAGCCTAAGCAACAGGTAGTGTCAAGGGTAAAATCAATACATAGTTTCTGAAGAACCCACATTAATACCTGATCCTATGGAAACTGAGATTCTCGAAACAACCCAAGATGAAGGAATATGGAGGTTGCTTTCTGGCGGCTGAAGACATAATAGGACTCAAATTGGCAAAACCACATTACTTTCAAGGGATGAGAAGCACCACAAAGTTGTTAGATAGGTCGGGCCAACATGATTAAACATGGTCTATCTCTGTAAGTTTGAATGAGCATGTCATGGGAAACTGAATACCAAGTCAAGAAAAATGTATTCAACCCCAGAGGCAATAAGCTAATGTTAGTCTTTCTCTTTTTTGTTTCTTTTGTTGTTTTCTTTTATTGAAAGTAGGTCCTTTTCTCAAATAATGTCTTGATTACAGTTTCCCCTCTCTCTACTCTTCTTAATACCTTCTCCCCACCCCTCCCCCCAGGATCCAGCACCTCTCAGACTCTTATTAGAAAAGAACAGGTTCCTAAGAGATAGCAGCTAAAAACAACAAAACAAAAGAGAAAACAAAAAAAATTATCATATTGGAGTTAGACATCATCAGCCTACATGAGAAAAAGAATCCCAAGAGCAAGTTCAATAATCATAGATCCACTTACTCTCACACTCAGGAGTCCCATTAAAATGTTAAACTGACAGCTATAACATATACACAGAGGACCTGGTTCAGACCTATGTAAGCCCTATTCTTGCTGCTTCAAGAATAGCAATACATCTTGTTTAGTTGATTCAAAAGGCCTTGTTCCCTTGGTGTCCTCCATCTCCTGTAACTCAAACTCTTTTTTCCTCCTCTTCAGTGAGGGTTCTCTGAGCTCTTAGGGGAGGGATTTAATGGAGACCTCCCACTTATATGCTCTCTGTGTGTTATGTCTGGTTGAGAGTTCCCTGAGCTCCTAGGGGAGGGATTTAACGGAGACCTCCCTCTTAGATGCTCTCTGTATGTAATGTCTGATTGTGGGTTTCTGCATGTTTCCATCTGCTGCCAGAGGAAGCTTCTCTGATGGTGACTAAACAAGACACTGATCTACGGTTATAGCAGAATATCTTTAGGAGTCATTTTACCGAATTTCTTCAGACCATGGTGTTTGGTTTTACCCTAAGTCTCTTCTATCTAGTCTCTGGTTGTTGGTTCCCCAAGTAGTAGCAGGTATGTGTTCCTTCTCATGGAGTGGGCCTTAAGTCAAATCAGACACTGGTTGGCTACTTCTGCAAGTTCTGCTAGTCTTTGTAAGAGCAAATAAAGGAAACTCATCTCATAAAACCCTATTCCACACAGAACAAGCTCGGTATAATCTAAGCATTTTTCAGTTGCCATCTCAGTTACCAGTTGTTGCTTTATCCTTGTGATATGTACAGTTGTTGTGGCCATTTTATAGATGGCTACACCAGTGGAGCCATGTCATACTACCACATTCTCCATGGACAATTGCTCTGGGAATTACTGTTCATGAGATAAGCATTAACTTTCCAAACACTCCATCACACAAGTCTCTTTCCTTTCTCTCTTATGTCTTCCACTTCATCTCTACTTCTCATTCCTGTTCTGATAATCTTCACGTCATTCTGGGACCCTGTGTACCCACATGTCTTCTTCTGGAAGTTTGAAGAGTCTTTTATTTTCCCCCTCTAGCTTCCTGCTGTCCAAAGTGGTCAACTACTCTTTGGAAAACATCATTTGCTACCTCTCTTTCCTGCCTGTGCCTGGTGAACAGTACACCTGACCATCAATATCTTTTCTCTGCATTTGCCGTCTCTCAACCTCAGTGGATGGTGAGTCACTGTGCTAAGCACAGGCATCACCTGCCTCCTCTTCTCTCTCCAGCAACACGAACTGCACAACAGAAAAAGATCAAATGACTCAACGGGTGACTCATCAAAGCTGTTGAGCACCAAGCATGCCCAACGAATGAATTACCTCAATTGAGTATTTACTGACCTTTGAAAGAACCTGTTATGACACTGTTCACATCCTGTAATCCAGAAAGGAAGAGCTGGCTGGCTGGGAAAGCAAGCTACTCACTGTCTCTGCTGTATAGAATTTGATCTCCAACAAAGAAGAGTATGCCATTCTGTTTCAAATTCTTAGTTTATAACTTTATCTTCAACATTCATTGACAAAGTTGGAATGTGGAGTGTCTCTCATAAGCTCAGAGTTTCTTTGTGACAGTGGTAGGAGGCAGTGGAACCTTTGTACTGAGAATCATTGCAGGAAGAATATTAGTCACTAGTGGCATATCCTAAATGTCACCATGAGACCACAATTTCTTCTTTGTCTTTTGTGATGTTGAGCCATAAACTAGCAGCCTTCCTTAGTCATATTTTCCTACCATGATATGCTGACTCACTGCCGACTGAAATTTATGAGTCAAATAATCTTTTCTTTTAAAAAACTTATTAAATCAATTATTTTATTATGGTGGTAAGCAGTATTTTCTTCCATTCGGGGTAGATACATGGTTCCTGGCTGCACTTCTCGCTTTACCCCCCCCCCACACACACACAATCTGTGTAGGATTGTGCAAATGTTTGTGTGTGTGAAAAGTTATCAGCATGTGTGTGCCATGATGCACACATGGAGATCAGAGGAAAATCTTGGTATCAGTCCTTTCCTATGACCTTGTGTAGAGAGAGATGAGATCTCTTGTTCCCTCTCTGCATGCCAAGGTATCTGGACTGGGCACATCTTAGTATTCTCCTCTCAGCTCCTCCTCTATCCCCTAGAAAAATAAACTTACAGATGTGTGCTATTGTGCCTGGCTTAATGTGGGGTCTATGTACCTGAACTCAAGTCTTCATGCTTGGATGGCAAATGTTTTTCCCATTGAACCTTTTATCCTAGGCCTATGCTAAATATATTTTCAGAGTAGCAAAGCAAGATGGAAAGACAGCTTCCTTTATAGAATTAAGAAAGGGCAGGATAACTTACCCTCTCTATACCCAGAACCCAAAAATCCTGTGCATGTTTGGCTTGGTTTTTGTTCCTATGCATGTTCTGAACATCTTTTACTTTGATAAAGAATAGAACAATAACAAGTCCCCAATCCCCCTTCTCTGAGTCCCCTGCCTCTTTCCCTCTCTCTCTCCCTTTCTCTGTCTCTCTCCCTTCCTCACTCTGTTTCTCTCCTATTTTTTTTTTCTGAATTTTGGAGGCAGGATTTCTCTGTATAGCCCCGGCTCTCCTGGAACCAGACTGTAGACATTGTAAACAAAGGTCTGTCCTTGACCTCAGAGATACACATGCCTCTGCCTCCTGAGTGCTGGCATTACAGACATTTGTCACCACTGCCAAGCTATGTCTTCTTTTTTTTTTTAAATGATTTATTTAACTTATTTTATGTGCTTTAGTGTGAAGTTATCAGATCATTTGGAATGGACATTACAGACTGTTGTGAGCTGTCATGCAGGTGCTGGAAATTGAACCCAGGTCCTTTGAAAGAGCATACAATGCTCTTAACCATTGAGCCATCTCTCCAACCCAAGCTCTCTTCTTTTGATGAGCTTAAAGTGTAGAGAATTCATGACATTGTGGTCTAAGTGTAAATATGCAATAATGTCTGTATTTCAGGATGCAAATGTAGTAGAACCAAGGTGGCTTAAAGTGATAGTTCTTTGTGTGAAAGCTGGACAAACACAGATTCTCCAAGAATGACATAGAAGCTCTGAAGTTTCATATGGAATAGGCAGTGCTGTCACCAGTGTGTCCACAGAGAATTCATCTCTGTTAAAGAATTGTTGGGTGCTGCTGTTGTCTATGCTTTGTTTGTTTATTTGTTTGTTTAATTAACTCACTTTACATCCCAATCATTGCCTCTTCTCCCAGTCCCATCCTTCCTCCCTCTTCCCCCTATCCCTCATCCCCTATCCCTCACAAAAAGGGATCCCCCTCCCACCAACACATCAAGCCTCATCAGGACTGAACACATGCTCTCCACAGTGGTCTGGCAAAGCAGCCTCCCACCAGGGGGAAGTGCTCAAAAAGCATACAACAGTGTCCTTTTCAGAGAGAGCCCCCACTCCCCTTACTAAGGAACCCCCATGAAGAGCAAACTGCCTATCTCTACATAAGTGTAGAGAGCCTAGGTCCAGTCCATGCATGGTTGTTGGTTGGTGCTTAAGTCTCCGCAAACCCCTCTAGGTCCAGATTAGTTGGCTCTGTTGGTCTTCTTGTGGGTCTCCTGTCATCTCCAGGTCCTTCTGTCCACCTCATCTTCCACAAGTCTTCCTGTGCTCTGGCCAATGTTTGGATGTGAGTCTCCGTATCTGTTTTCATCCATTGCTGGGTGAAGCCTCTCAGAAGACAGCTATACTAGGCTCCTTTCTGTAAGCATAGTTCTATTTTTGTCTCTGTCCTTTAAATTTCACCTACTAGTTCAGATTCAGAGCTTATGGAACTGTCAGTTTAGTCTGTTAGTGGTATATGTCTTCAAATGGCTGCTTTGTTGTTTCTGAACATTTAGAGGAACCTTACGCAGCAGGCAAGCACAGCAGTCCAGTAAACCAAGTCTGTCTTATGAAACTCAGTAGCATCCTTCACAGTTCCATTCTGGGAAGCGACCCTTGACCTTCTGGTCTTACTGGATAAGCCTGTTCACTTTCCCCACACACCTGGCCACATCGCTCTGCTATGCGTTTACCAGCACTACTATTCTGCCAAAGGCTACGTACGGACTTCTGTCCGTGAGTGCTGATCTTTCTCTTATGC